TCTTCAAAAATTAAAGATTATTAATAATATGTAAACCAAACTTACAACATATTAGGTCGAGTATGAAAATATATATAAATAAGTTTAATATGATATGCTTACGTTTTGAAAATAATAGTAGTATTTTAATTTAAAGTAATAAGTACTTTAATGTACTTTGAGTTAATTATTATTTGACTAAGTTGAATACATATTGAAAATTTATACACATATTAAATTACAAATCCAATTACAATACTCGAAAAGTAAAACATAGATAAGATAAATTTATATATTGAAATTAATGAAAATAAATTAGAATCATTTAGTCATAAGTAATTTAAGGTAGTAATTAAAACAGAAAAAATAAAGCATAGACATCTTTTTTTTTGGTCAAAAAAACATAGACATTGAAATGTATAAATTGATATTCCTTATTGAAATAGCTATACAAAATCAATATCTTTTGTTAAAATAAATTTACACATTTATTTTAATTCAAAAAAAATATTTATATAAATTTTTAAAAATTTTATACTTATTTATATAGGTTACACGCGCAACGCGCGTACCATAAGACTAGCACAAATTAAAAAGTTGTGGCGATAGTCAACCCAAAATAGATGGATTAACCTTCTTGCTCATACCATAACCAAACAGAAGATTACATTGAATCATGTTAGCTTCGTCGTTTGACGAACAAGCGGGTATTAAGATTTAAGAGATAGGCAAGTAGCTGCAGCTCTAGTCCTGGTATATGATTCTAAAATATCTATCTATTTATATTATATTAAAAAGAGAGTAGTTTGTCGTATGGTTAAGTTAAGTGGCAAGTTAAAATAAAGTCACTTGGCAATTTTAAGACAACACAAAAAATTTGGGTCATAAATGGAAAAATATTTAATGAAAGTAGTAGTCCAAAATTTTCCGTAAATTGAATTTCATTCTTTAATTAATCAAAGCCAATTATTTTAACATTTAAACTAAAAATGTTCTCTTTTTGAGAATCTGTTGGACATACACAAAGAGGGATGCAACTTTCATCAAGCAAACAAATATACTATAACTATAGGTATCTTTAATTAAATTTGTGTATATTTCAGTTATGGTAGGTATCTTTTTTTTGAGAAGAATCAATTAAAATTTTGTTTTGTATCTTACACATTATTTTTAAGTTGAAATAATAATTCTATATTTAGTACAAGCTTTGTATCTGACCTTATTTGCGAATAATATACATTATTATATGTATCTTTAATTAAATTTTGTGTATAATTCAGTTATGGTAAGTATTCTTTTTTAGGAAAGAAATAATTAAATAAATATTTTGTATCTTACATTGATATTATATTAAAAGAAAATAGTATTAAAAACGAACAAGAGGACAAAGAAAAAAGACAAGAAAAATTAAGGTTTGGTGGTTAACCACAAAAAAAAGACGTTGAAAATTAAAAAATGTCAAAAGCTAAAAAATGAAAGATTTGTAATGGAAAAAAAAAGAAATATTCGTATCATTTCTTCAGAACTCACACGTACAAATTGATTTACACATGCCGTCTTTAAATATTAGGATTTCATATACTTAAAGATTTATTTACTATGATAGTCTTTCCTTAGAAATCTTTATTTAAGCAACTTTTCTTTAGGATTGGCTTCTCTACAGTGCCTAGGGTTTAGCTTCCACACAAACTTTTGCAAAGTATGGCACTATAACTATATCAGCGAAATATCGATGTCCAAAATGAGTTGGAATTTGAAGGTTCGTGTTGTTAGATTATGGCACATTCCAGACTGTGAGAAACTAGAAAATTCTAATTCAGTTGAATTAATTATTCAAGATGAAAAGGTGCATACTTTTTTACATGTTATTTTTTTTTGAGTTGTGATGTATTTTCTTTAACTTATGCGCCTTACTAACTTAAATTTCTTTCCACATTTTTTATTTTAGGGAGATCGAATTCATGCAACTATTGGAAGAGCTGTTATGCGTATTTTCAAAACAAAAATACATGAAATGGGATTGTACGTTATGAAAAACTTTGTGGTTGGACAAACAATCTGAAAATTAAGACCAACAAGCATAAATTGAAACTAACATTTGCTCATAAGACGAGTGTGGATGAAATTCGTGATCCACAATTTAGTTTGAATATCTTCAACTTTAAGCCTTATGAGCATCTCACAAATCAACTTGAGGTTGATGAGAATGAACTTTTCAGTAATTGTTTTACCTTTCGCTATTTTTTGTTGAATGTTTTATCACCTTATTTATAACTATTTATTTAAATATGGCAGATGTCATAGGAGAAGTTATTGATCATGGTAACACAGAATCATATAATCAAGGTGGTAAAACAAGTACCTTTATGAACTTGGAGCTTGAGGATCATGAGTACGCTTGCAACCATGAATTGAATTATTTATAGATTCAATTACTATTATTTTCTCATTATTAATTTGTGTACTTGACATATAAGAGGAACAATATTTCAGTAACATTTTGGGGAGAATTTGTAGATGAAATCTTGCTCCACTTGGATGGATCACCCAATCAACGTGTCATAGTAGTTATGCAGCTCATAAAAGCTCACAAATTTCAAGGTACTCATATCATAATATTTATATTTGACTTCTATTTGTGTGTGTGTGTTTTTAATTAAAGTTAATTTATATGTAGGCAAATATTCTGTGTGTAATACTCATTCCTCGAAGCTTTGGATTAATCCTGATCTTCCACAAGTTGTTGAATTTATATCCAGGTTTTCTATATATAATATTAATTATATATGTATTACATAATTTTTTTTAGCATGTTTAGAACTAATACAAATTTGGATAAATAAAGATTAGGAAGTAGGCGTGAAGTTAACTTTGAGAGGATTAGTCAAACAACTTCTCAACATAGTTATTCTGTTTCTGAAGAACTGGCTGTTGGAAAATGTGGAAGTTTGGAGAATTAATTGATTCATGCGGGTAAGTAAAATATTCTTTAGACAAACCATAACTAACAAATATAGATTTGTCATCTTATATAATATATTGGATTTCTTTTACAGGAAGGGCAAATCTGGATTGTTGCTACTGTAGTAAATTTAGAACTTGAAAGGGGATGGTCACATGTAGGGTGCAAAAAATATTCGAAGAAAGTTAATAAAACTGGAAATAAATTTTACTGCAAGAAATGTGAACGTGTTGATCAGTCTGCTCTGAAAAGGTTTGACTGTAATCTATGCTTAATTAAAGATTATTAGAACATAAATTTAAGTTAAAAAATATTTTTAACTTAAAGAAGTTATCAAATACAGGCTTCAGATTCGAGTAATTGATGGAACTGACTCTATTTTTTTGTTGCTTTGGAATTGTGAGGTAACAAAACTCATTGAAAAGTCTGCTGATACCTTGAAAGAAGGTGTAGTAGAGGTATGTTATTTTATTTCCATTGTTTTATATTTCTTAGCACGTCTAATACTAACATTGGTTTAGACTTCTGGTGCTGCTTATGAGTATTCTCATCCATTGAAGAAAAAGTGTTTATTCCAAGAATGACGTTGACTCCATCTGATGCGAGAATACCTTTTAAATTTCAGCGACGACAATTTCCAATTGTGGTGTCTTTTGCCATGACAATTAATAAAAGTCAAGGCCAGTCATTGTCTCGTGTTGGGTTATTTTTGAAGAAATCAGTATTTATACATGGACAGTTGTATGTTGCTCTTCACGGGTGACAAGTAGAAAAATGGTTAAAGATTTTAGTTTATGATGATGATGATGGACAAATAACAAATGAAGCTAGAAATGTGGTGTACAAAGAACTTTTTCATAATTTAATTTAATACGTTATTA